TTTGGGGATTTAATCTACATGCACGTACGGGCCCCTATCCCCAAAATGGGCGGTCTTTCCCGCGTGATACACAAGTAAGAGCCCGCCAAAGTTTTTTGCGGGTAAGCTGCTAACTCGCGAACCAGAAAAAATAGAGCGCTGAAATTTTACGGGAATGTTCCCCGTTTAGGTAAATGCTAATGAGCTCAAACCCAACCTCCGGGTAAACGTGGCACCCGCGTACGGGGCCCGCCAAAATTTTTCCCGCGTAATTTCATAACTCGGGGTTCTGAGATGCTAGAAAGCTGAAATTTTAAGGGAATGTTCCCCACCCAAGTAGGTGCTAATGAGCTCAAAACTAACCCTCGGATAAGCTTGGTACCCACATACGGGCCCGCCAAAATTTTTCTCGCGTAAATTCATAACTCGGGGCTCTGAGAAGCTAGAAAGCTGAAACTTTAAGGGAATGTTTCTCGTCCAAGTAAGTCTCAACGAGCTCAAACCTAGACATCGGGCATGCGTCGTACCCGCGTGCGGACTCGTGAAAGTTTTTTCCAGTAAGATGCTAACTCAGGAGCCAGGAAAACCAGAAAGCTGAAATTTTAAGGGGTGTTTCCTGCCAGTTCTGGCAGCCAGTCTCAATTTGTTTAGCTTGAAGCATTTGCCGAAAAAACCGATGCCGGCGGCAACAAAAATTGCGGGGAATCCTGCAAAAAACGCATCTTCGCACGGGCAGCCCGTGCGTTGGCCAATTATTTTTTAATGAATGAACAATTTGATACAAAAATTATGTTTTTATGCGCTTCTGCATCTTATGTAAATGCAATAAAAACGCATAACGCTGAGAAAGTTTGTTTGTGTTTGCGCGCGCGTTCAGAATCGAGTGGATTTTGTCACCCACTTTCAACTCAGCAGCGAGAACCATTACGCAACCCTACTGTCCCAGCCGACGCCTTTTTTCCCCGCATGCAAGAAAAGAAAGGCCAAAACACAGGCACATGAGCTGCATGTTTTAAATTGTGAAGCAACAATCATTCATACTGTTAATAATCTGACTGCGCTAAGTTTAGCGCGAAACGCATGATCGCATGCGTAAGCCTGGTGCGATGCTGCCTGGGTTTTATTAAAAGGTGGCCGGCAAGCTTAAGTAAGTACGCAAATCAAGCTCGTTTATCGCCAAAGGCTGCCCACGCCTGTAATAGATGTTTTGCATCTAGACTGTTTAGTTCACCCACAGCTGCATCACCTCACTGATACCGGCGAAATCAGTATATGAAAAGCAAGATCTGTTACGCGCCACAACCTAAGACTATCACTACTACTGTTTGCATATCAGTGTGCAGTGCTCCATGTTGCTGAGAAGCAAGCAGTAAAACAATTTTGAGGGAAAAAACGGCTGGAAACAGAAACCTCAAGCACTAGACGAGTTGGGTTCGTCGTGGATAAAGCCCATTTTCCGGGCTAAGTCCCTGCTCAGACAACGACTCGTCTGTAATCGAGCGAAGCCATCCTTGCACTTTTTGTAGTGGAACCGAGAAAAACCTTCTGGCACTTTGCACCGATGCCTTCCAATCAAATGTCTGCTCAGTCCAAAACCACTCATATATTTTGCTGGACAGAGATGGCATAAATGCGTATACGGCTTGTAGTCCTGAAAATGCGAATATCAGATGCAACAATGACTGCAGTGAGTGTGCTGTGCTATTCCTCTGATACCTCTGCCTGCCACTGGAAATGCTCACAAATGCGAATGAATGTTGGGGTCTGAGTAGTCTTAGCTTTCGCCAACAGCGCAGAAACCAGCAATTACATATTGCTTGTCGATCTTGAAAAGAAGCAATTAGTGATAATCGTAATGCGGCAAAGCTACGGCAATTTACCTCCAAAGTCTTTTTTGGCAAATTTTTCACTTCGCAGATTTGTAAAAATTTAGCGCGGTGCGCCCGTAAGAGAGCGATACAAGTTTGAAGTACTTTATGGCTCTCATTCTATGAATAAATTACTAGCTTTTTCGCAGGAAAAATTCAGGCCTAAAAAACTCATTTTCCACTTTATAAAAATATAAAAAAAAAAAATGTAAAGCCTATCCGTCCAAAAACTTAAATGTGAGGGGTGAAATGTAAGTTTTCGACGCTCCGAATTCTACAGTGAAAAGTGAAATGTTTTCGAACTCGACTAAAAAACGTGAAATGTCGTGTAGTCTGACCGAATCGTGTTTCCGTAGATGCGCCAATAACTGTTTTCGCCAGCGAAAGCTCTCACCACACTGCTCACAGTCATTTGTATAATCGCTTCTGTGTACGGCTTCATGTCGCTGGAGATCAGCTCGTTGAAAATATCTGCAAAGCATGGCATCAACAGTCACCATAGTGAGACGAAGAAAGCAGACTTCAGAGCAAACGAATTTCTCAACCTCTGTTCACAAAACTGGCAGGGATACACCCGCTCTTTTGCATGCACCGTTGCGATATGTCTTCGTAACGATGACGGGCTATCCGCCGTCACAATGCAGTAGTTGCACTTATAACCCATAACGTGTCGACGGCAGTGCTCGCGTAACAAACGTTTCGTCTCAAACTGTCGGTGGCATAAACTACAGCACACTGATCTTTCATCGCCAACTTTTGCGGCATCTGCAATGCACACAGACACTTCTGAAAGCAAGCATAATATCGCTTCTCTCTTGCACCACCTCCACATACATACTTCTGTGCAGTCCGGATGCTTTAACTTCTAATACCATTCAAAAATCTCAGAACAACAGAGTCTTAAAATAATACAGACAGTACTTTGTTCTAAAGGCTGCGGCTGTGTTCACTGATCCAGTAAGCACTGTAAGCGGCTGCAGTATGACCTAAAACTGACTCGTCTAGAGCTATCAGCCCTTGTCTACTTCTCAAAACATTTCCGCCAATAACTCTGAGAGCCAGCAGCTACAGTTCGAGAATGCAGGTGACTTAATAAAATTAGGCAACTCATATAAGACACTAGCAGGATCAGTTACAACAGTCAGCCGTTGAACGTACAATCGCCCCGCTGCACCTTTAACCTGTTCCTCCCGCACTATATCAATTTCCTTCGAAAAAAGGGAAAAATAGGAAGGCCGACAACAGGATCCCTACTGGGTTGACCACTAAGTGATGAAGCAGCTACAGCAAAAGCATCCAAGGAAATACTGCAGCCACGTCGACGGTGCTAAGCAGTTACGCCGGGAAAAGCAGCAGCAGTAAGAAGCGCAAGGAAATCAAGCAGTCTGTATTGGTTTATGATGTCGTTTCAAAGCAAATTTTATTAAACTCACTTGCTTTTACTCTGCGATACAGATGATCGGTGAGTTTTGAATTGCTGGCTAAGAACACGCCACAGTACGGGCATGCAGTTATTTTATCGCCAGAATGATGTCTCAGATGAACGCGAAGCCTCGCCTTATTCTTGAATCGCATCCCACAATCTGAACAAAAAAAGATTTGAAAAAACGACAAAATGGTGCTCACGCCTTAATGCCTTTCTGGATTCAAAGCAACCCGTACCTTTCCAGCAGCACTCAGTCCGAGATTGCTGACAACCATCCGTCCCCTCATCCTCATCGACATGCTGCACGACGTGATGAATGAAAAG